GAAGGAAGTTATGGCGAGTAGAATTTAGAAACGCGTGATTTCTCCAAAATTCACCAACGCTTTCACCTCCTTTGGAAAGAAGTCTGAGCCTATCTTTTAGCGCACAATAATTTACAAAAACAGTATTATCGAATAGTACTTAGTAAAGTCTTCTATGTTGGGTAGGCGTTGCTTCACATATTCGCGAAAGGACCTCCGCAGAACAAATTGAAAAAAACTGGAAACGGAATATCGAAAACATCGTACCCCCACTTCCAATATATCAGAAGATTCTCCGTGCCGAGCTGAATCGAACGGTGGCCTTGGATTCAGAATTCGTCCACTCTGAAGCGAGATATGGCCACGCGACGCTGATGTATGGACATGTCCATACATGTATGGACATGTGCGGACATGTACGGACATGTCCATACATGTATGGACATGTCCGTACATGTCCATACATGTCCATACATTCGCGTCTTTTTTTCAAAAAATGTGAGCGGTATTGTATATGTGATGCAGAATGCGAAGAAGTCAGATGCAGCAGCTTTTGCAAAGCACGCATTGAGCTATGCTCACATCACGAATGGGTAGAAAGATATGGATTGAAAGTAAAAACATTTTTTTGAAGCCTTGTATTTGACAGATCATAACTCCCTTCAAAGTTTGTAAGTATACATGAAAAGTTCCTATCTTGTGGCCGCAATCCAATAGGTAAAAGGAGATGGAAGGAGCCTGGATAAAGAAAATTCACAAGATAGAAAAAAATCGAAATTCAAAATTGTCAGTTTTCTTCAAAATTTTTCGTCGGGTTTCAAAGTTCCAAATTATAGAATTTTCTGATTTTCCGTGTACTGAACAGATGAAAGTTCTTGCAAAACTGTCAACAGTATGCTCTACCCTTATGCTCAAGAAAATGAGCAAAGCTTTGGTGATTGCCTTTTCAGAAAAAATTTATGGACTATGGAATGACCAAAACGACCAACCACGTTGAGGAGCCGATATCTCGGTTGAGATGATTTTTGAGAGAGTGCTAAAATATACATAATGTACATAATTTCTTTTACATACAGCTAAGTTTTCGGAGAAGCGTCCTCATTCGGGCATGAATTCTGGCGAAACGTGAATGCAACGAAAATCTGATTTTAGATGCTGTTATTTGAAGCTCTGTAACTTTTTAGAAAATACGCTGGTGACGGGAGGTTAGGATATGGATAGATAGAGCATGAAAAGATCTTTTCGACGATAAACCTTGGTGGATAGAAGTTGTCCTGCAAAAGGCTCGGAAAAACGCCATTATTTTTGCATCAATCTAATAAAAGCATTCAAATCGCTTTGAAAAATCAGAAGTTGCGAATTTTTGAATTTGGTGCGAGAGAACTGTCGGGACGACCTAATACTTAGTGAAGTAATTGATTTCCGTGCACTTAGAGGTTCGCACAAACATCCATTGTAAATGTGAGATTTACTTACCCAACATTCTTGAGGTCTAAGCCGTTCATATACAGTTTGAATTGAATAGTAGTTGTAGTAGTTGGAAATTTTGTCTTTGCCTTCTGTAGCATATAACAATCTTCATTTTACGTTTTATTCTCTACTTTGCCGAGCAAAAATTGCGTGGTGCCCTTGAAATGAAGGGTTCGCGGAGATTACAAGTCACAATCTACAAGGCCAGTTCGCATACTGCGCTCACAAATAAAACTCTCGCATTCATTGATCTTATTCTCAAACAAATTCAACGCATATTCCGAATTTCACGCCAAGTATCCTTTACAGCTTCCTGTCAGCATCAAAGATCCCCTAGGTTAGAATTCTGAGAAATCAAAGATGCTAGCCATTTTAGTGTGAGGCTGTGATCTATTGTGTTTATACATGTAATTCCCGCACAAATTAAAACTAAACGTTTTTCACAGATTCAGAATCCTTTAACACATAAAAATGCGAAGAAATTATTTAGCTGTAAATTATCAAAATCTTGCAAACTTGGTCTAGTTATACTGCTTTGAACTCGCAGATTGTTCCTTCCCTTCCCCCCCCCCCCCGTCCTTTTCCACCAGCTCCTCTCCCACTCCTTACGTTTAGAGGCGGAAATAATGAACATCACACATTTCGTCAATTTTATGCTTCCAGAGCTCCAGAAATCTGAATCCTTCTAATTTTCTTGAAGGTTTTTCTTAAGCGGTATTCTCAAGTATTTGTGCTCAATATAGACCCCCTGGTCTTTGCTCTGACTTAATCGCACACTTGCAACAACTACTCTGTGCGAAACCCTCCTTAGTTTGTCCATCAAGCATTGGATGAGGTTGCCAAACTACTCGTATAAATATGACCGTGGCCATCGTTATTTGTGTATCAACTGGCATATCCGTCTCCGCCCGCCTTCCCATTATGTTTTCGTAATCAGCATGCCTTTTTACCCCCCACCCCCCTCCGTGGCAACTCCATCTTGTAGCTCAATCAATAAAAATAATTGACAGTTCAAAAGCTAATATTGTATTCGTAATCAGCATGCTCACTTACCCCTCTGTGCCAACTCCCAGCCACGTAGGTCAAACTTTGCAAAAAATCGATAACAATCTATAACGATATCCACTGATGACGAAAAGTAGCCTACAACACCCTCCCCCTCCACCCTCTTTCCGAAGTGTATGTGTGCCAAGTTTGGCCCGGATCGGTTCAGAGATAAAATCTATTCGGTACATACTCACAGACAGGCGCACAGACATACATACAAACAGACATCCAGCTTCTAAGGGATCGTTCAGACCGCGCCTGTACCCGCCCAAATACGCCCGAATACGTCCAAATACGTCCAAATACGTCCAAATACGTCCAAATACGTCCAAATACGTCCGAATACGTCCAAATACGCCCAAACCCGCCCGAACGCCGAAACTGCCAATGCGCAGCAAATTGCATGCAAATTGGCATATTGGAGCGCGTGGAATACTGCGTGCGTGGTGCATATATGGTAGCCACACGTAGCTCGACGTTACATACCGATTTTCATATGCGACTAGCGAGATTACAAAGATCAATCGACTTTGCGTCTGTTTTTATTTCTTCTCATGTTTGCTGACTCTAGGTGAGTTCTAACTTTCGCGCTGTGCGTTTTCTTTTCTTTTGAGCATGACGATCTTGTTGAGGTAATGCTTTGTTCTGTCTATGAGTCATCTCTTTCCATATTGATCTGGTGCGATAAAAAGGCCCGGTCTTTGCTCAAAAGCGCCCAAATTTTTCTGTCTTTCTCTGGAGGAGAGATAGGAGTGAAGAGAGATTCAAAAAACTTAAGCGCTTTCGGGTGCTTTTGAGCGAAGTCTGGCCGGGGCCGAAGAGGTATTCTAGTCATCTTTACGCGTTAGGCATACTGTCCCTGTAAAGTATAAACAAAAAGTTGACAACGCACGTACTTAGAAAACAGACAAAGAAAATGTGCATATTCTACTCATTCCAGATCAATATGGAAAGAAATGACTCATAGACAGAACAAAGCATTAACTCAACAAGATCGTCATGCTCAAAAGAAAAGAAAACGCACAGCACGAAAGTTAGAACTCACCTAGAGTCAGCAAACATGAGAAGAAATAAAAACAGACGCAAAGTCGATTGATCTTTGTAATCCCGCTAGTCGCATATGAAAATCGGTATGTAACGTCGAGCTACGTGTGGCTACCATATATGCACCACGCACGCAGTATTCCACGCGTGCTCCAATATGCCAATTTGCATGCAATTTGCTGCGCATTGGTAGTTTCGGCGTTCGGGCGGGTTTGGGCGTATTCGGACGTATTTGGACGTATTCGGACGTATTTGGACGTATTTGGACGTATTTGGACGTATTTGGGCGTATTTGGACGTATTTGGACGTATTCGGGCGTATTTGGGCGTATTTGGGCGGGTACAGGCGCGGTCTGAACGATCCCTAATATATAAAAGTGAATGTCTGTCTGTCTATATGTCTGTATTGTCTGTCTGTCTGTCTGTACGTATGCTTCGAATAAAGAATTTCGTTTCTGGACCGATCCAGACCACTTGGCACACATACACTCGGGGGGGGGGGGGGTTGTAGGCTACTTTTCGTATCGATCGATATTTATTTTATCGATTTTTACCGATCTTTTGAAATTGAGATACGAGGCTGGGAGTTGGCACAGGGGTAAGTGGGCATGCTGATTTGGAAAACAAAACGCGGGAACTGGCTTGTAGAAGTAAGCAAAGGGAAAGGTTTTGCGGGGATATAACGGGACCTTCATCATAGTTTTGATAGGGCCGGGCGGAGCCCGGTATGCCAGCTAGTTATACAGGGTGTCCCAAAAAGATGTGAACACTGTTTGATCGTTAATAACTCCGTTGCTTTCATGTCTTTCGCCGAGCTTGAGGCACCATTTTGTAGAGCGAGGTCGAACTTAGATTTGCAGTATGGAGCGAACCATCGATCGCTTTCCGTTACTGTACGATTACGGTATGAATTTTTAACATCATTGTGTAATATGCCATCTAACAAAATTTTTTTCAAAAAATCTGAAAAATCATGTACTAGGGTTTTCGTTTACGCTGATTCCACTACCGAATTTTGACGGTATAATCACATTTCTGACAAATGCTGGGAATTGAGTTATTACGATTTACTGGAGATAACTTAGAAAAGAACCATCACAGTAAAACGGGAATTTCAAATTTGAAATCAGCGGCTGCCATTACCATAGTATAAGGGTTTTTGGCTTGCTTGGTTCTGTTCTGAGGCAGAATATGGCCTCCAATTGCCTAAAATCCTTGTCGAAGTTCTTACCGTAATCCTACAGTAATGAAGAGCGATAGATGATTCGCTCCATACTGTAAATCTAAGTTGAAGCCAGCTCTACAAAACAGTACCTGAAACAAGGCAAAAGACTTGTTGGAAGAAAGATATTAACGATCTAACAGTGTTCACATTTTTTTGGGACACCTTGTATATAAGATTGCTCGTTCGGAAATTCTTTGCTTCCTTGTATACTTTTAGAAAATGGTTCAATACAAGCTCACGTATCTTCCAGTACGCGGAATTGCTGAAACAGCTAGACAGGTAAAAGTTGAGGAGATGTCATTGCTCGAAGTACAATATTAAGCTTATATTTGAATCATAATTGGTGGACGCGCTTCTTTCAAGCGCTGGTTTTAAAAGAACCCCTTTTCTGAAAAATTCATGCCACCCGAAAGAGCTTTTTTTCTAGTTTCCTATGTATGCTTAAATTTTCGTAGATCTCTGTTCATTCAAAAGTTTCATGTCTTTAAACAAAAAAAAAACAATTGTCAAAATTCCTCTTACGTCTTGCCTCAAATCCATAAAAACGAAGTTGTTTCAAAAAATTTCCGTTACCATTGAGGAGTCTTGTGCTACAAAATGCTTATTGGAGCAAAATCTCCAGTGAATCCTGTACCGAGGAATTTCATCGCAAACTTGGGTAATCGTTGGGGTTCCTCCGGGCCGTCTAAGAATCCTAACACGTTGACGACAGTGCCCGCGCAATAGTGCGCGGCAGGCAGTCTGTACCTGTGGACGACACCGTGCAATGGTGCTCGATGTAGAAAAGAGTTTTCTTTTCTTCGCTAGGACTAGGACTTGTGCTTTACTTGCTCGTTGCCACGCGGGACTATAAGCTGTGGTTGGAAACGGGCTCACAAATAGGTTTATTGTTCAATTCTTTACATACAGCCTTCTTTCTTCCTGCTCACACTCCGAAGTTCTTCTTTCTTCGAAAGACTTGAGCTTGAACTTGATCTTGAGCTTGAGCTTGAGCTTGAGGTCCTTGAGGAACTTGAGGAAGCATGATCTTACGGCAGTGTGAGCTCTATTTATACAAATGAATATCAGATAAAAGTTGAATCTCAAAATATATTTCAAGCGAAGAGAAACATAGATGATATGATAAACGTTACAAAAGCAAAACAACGCATACTTGAGAAATGTACGATTTCAAAGAACAAAATTAATTCAAATACATGAACAAATACTTGATACATCGGCTAAACAATCGACAAATATATCTTAATTATATACATTGATTATGGATCACTTGGTCGTCGTTGACGACACTCCCGGGGTGGCTAATGTTTCGTCCTGCGGCCATCTTTCAGAGCTCTTCTGGCATCAAGGATTCTTTGCTTCGCTCGTGCCTTCATGTCTGGTACGTTACAAAGGGCTCGATGGTGTGTGCTGCCGCGTGGGATGAGATCTTCGAAAATAGATCCCTTTAGACGCTTGCAGTACCAGCATTCTCTTCTGGCGTAGAGGCACTCTTTTTGTGGTGGACAGTTCTCTAAGCAGTAGCGGCAAAGTTCCTTCCGTCGAATAATCTCCCATCTTTCGTCCCCCTCCACATATCTGGGGCAGGAGTCAGAGAAATGCTGACTTGTTGCATCACAGAAGGCGCACTTGATTCCTTTGACGCCATGGTTTACTTGTCCGATTTTCCGATGAGGGAAATCCTGCAAGACTCTCTCCATTTCGATTATGTCTCTTTCAAGTCTGTCCTCCCAGGCCCTCGAGGTCTCTGGCCTGTCGGTCCTTTGGGCCTTAGCAGGTTCCTGCGATATCCTGTGACGTTCTTTCTCTCGCTGTGCATCACTTGACAGCTTTTCTCCTGATCTGTCGATCCTTTGGTATTTAGCCGTGTGTTCCTGAGACTGACTGTGAAGTTCTTTCTCTCGCTGCCTTTCATCACTTGACAGCTTTTCCTCTGATTTCTCGGTCCTTTGGTATTTAGCCGTAGGTACTTGAGACGGGCTGTGACTTTCCCTTGATCTGTTCGCTTGCTCCAACTGTTGTTCGACTTGCTCCTTTTCCGCGCGAAGCTTTTCCATGTCTTTTTTCTGTCGCATTATCTCGCCTTCCAATCGATCAATCGCCTCTTGATGTTGACGCTGCTTCAGCGTCAGCTCCTCTGCGCGAGATTTTTCCGATCTCAGCTCAAGCCTCAATTCCGATAATCTTTTCTTCTTTCTTTCATTTTTGTCCAGAAGGGCGCTGACGTTATTTATCAGAGGAGCTGTGGCTGCTCGTTTGAGCTCAAGTTCATCCTGCAGCTTCGACACTTGAATTTTCAATTTTTCAATTGTAGAAATTTCTTGTTTTTGCCGGCTTCCTTCGTTTTCTACATGGTAATCTCTTTGTCTTTCGCTGCTATCCTCCTGGTCCATCAACTTTTCGATCGTAGAAAATGTTGTTTCCATCATATTTTCTTCTGATTTGTCATCTTCATAGTCATCATCCTTTGTTTTATCGCCATCGGCTTGATCGATTATTGCTATTTCCTCGGTTGGAGCCGTCCAATCCATTGCGTCATCATTTTGCTCTGGGCCTTTTTCTTTTTCTTGTTCCTTGTTCTCAGCTCGACTGCCGTTGGTTGTTTCTTCAACTTCAGCACTCCAGTCCATTTGCCTATCTTCGTACTGTTCTTGGATCTTCTCCTTTAGTGCTCTGTTTTCTCTTTCGAGTCGCTCCACTTGATCTGCCCAGTCGAGCTCTATTTCCTGGATGCGTTCCTTCAGTTGTTTACATTGAACTGCAAGCTTTGCTTCCTCGCTCTCATTCACTTGCCTCTCGACTTTGTTTAGATGATCTTCCATCATGCTTATGCTCGTTTTCGTGAAGCTCATTAGGCTTTGAACCATTTTGAGCACTGATTCTGCATTGACATCGTACTCTTGTTTCTTTCCTTTTTCCAGCCACTGGAATCGCCGCCCTCTCGGTATGAGATTAGCCTGTACTTGTCGGTCATAGATCCTATCCGTGAGGATGTACCATGTCCCGAGTCGTAGTATCTTTTCCTTGGTCTGCGTCGCGCTTCGTAGGCATCTGTTGGTTACCATAAGTTGTTCGTTTGTGGATGACTGCAAAAAATTTGCTTCGCCCATCAATGACGTCCATTGTGTTCTCTGCGTCGTCGCTACTTTCTTTTGATTGTGTAGCGATTTCAGGATGGCTTGGAGCTGGGGTTCCAGGAATTCCGCTTGTGGGCTTGCTATTCCCAGGATCGTCTTTAAGAATGTTGTTTCCCCGTCGAGTTCAGCGGCGCTGAGTCTATAACCAAGTCGTGTCAGTCAAGAGAAGGCTAGTCGATTGCAAAATTTCTTTCTCTTTTTTTTTCATGTTTTTTTTTCTTTTTCTCTTTTTTTTTCTTTTCTTTTTTTTTTGGTTGCAGTCGTTATAGCTTCATTTTTGTTGCCCCTCTCCTTTGAGACTTGGTCAGACATGCGCGCAAAGTCCAAAAGCAAAATCTCCAACTGAGTTGATACAGTTTTCGTATCGGCCTAATCATTAACTTTGCTAGGATGATAACGCCTCTAAGTCCACAGGTCGCAATGAGCACATAGGTTATTCCTAGCATAGCAATGAGTGTGATTCCTGCGATGAGTACCGTTTTATACCATTGACTGAATACATCAAATAGATGGTAGAAGTCAGGCCACTTGATTTCGGCTGAAGCACTTTCGCGATTGCTCGTAAGCCACTTGTAGAACATTGCCTCGAAAGTTGCAGTATATTTGAGAATTCCTCCGACTTCAAATGCTGTGACGACTTGTCCGCATGAGACCGAACACTTCATGCGAACCATTGCTTGAGTAGGGCTGATTCTCATGATTGACTCGATCCCTTGTTTGCCGCACGGAGCCGTGAAACTTGTTCTTTCACATATGATTTCTGCTTTACTTGACCGAGAGGAAAAACACTTGATTTTTGCATGAGCCCCCTTTTCGCAGTTATAGCATCCTATCAACTGTGTGTTCTCCACCGTACATATGTCGTTGTCTACGACGAGGTTAGTGCGTAGATCTTCTTGAAGAGTTACGATTATTTCTGTCGAAAGCATATTCTGAACGATTGCCTTGACGCCATGGATTGATTCCTCAAATGTTATTGATGGTAAAATTACGGGCATTCGTCGTTGCAAATCCTCGAACTGCTTCAGTATCGGCACATTCAGGCAATTGCAATTGGCCTTCGTTTCGGCGGGATTACACGTACACTGCTCAAATATTTCACACCGTAGTGTTCTTGCCGCTTTACTTGTGGGACAGCGTAGAGCGGGCTTTAATTGATTATCCCAGAGAGCTGTGTTATTGCCATTCGATATGAATGAAGACTGGAGCAGAGGTATTGGAGCCATACTCACAGAGCTGAGTGTGAGAGAAAAGCTTTCCCATTGGACTGGTACGTTAGGGAGCATTAGAGCTGTGAACTCGTTTGTTTTCCCACTTTTGGCGTCGAAATGGGTGAAATCAATGGCCACTGTCTGTGCCCATCGATTACAGTGAAAGACCTCGAACACTGTCGAAGAGACAGGTTTCAGGTAAATCCGATAGAAGAGGCATCCGGAGCTCCAGTAAAAACAGTCACACCCCGGGCCGCCACAGGATTCAACGCAGTACGTGTTTCCTGGATACCCGTTCCCCACAGCGAGTTCGGGTATGAGACTGGTACTGTTTATTTGGGCGCATTTGCTTCCGACACACGACCCTACATGCGGACAACGCTTACTGTCTATGATCTCATAACTTGTGTCGCGAGTGAAATAGTCCGTGACCTTTTCGCAAGTGAGAAGTAAGTTCTTCCAGGAGGCCCGTATCTGGTGGATTGTTGTTTCATTGTGCATTAACTTGAAACAGGCTTCCCTTTTGAACGGATTCAACTTGAACACTTCAGAAACTTGCACTTTACAGATTTGGCCTTTGTCATCATTTGTGCACAAGGTGGATGTGTGGCTGAATATGTTCACCATCTGGCATCCGTGCACAACCCCTACGTGCATACTCATCATCGTAAAAATGGCCAACAAACTAGTCAGTTCGATCGATCTTCTCCTTCTTCTTCTATCATGACTTGGTTGGTCTGGTGTCCTTCTGCAGCACTTGATGAGATGACGTAATAGTAGGTAGATGCTGTATATCAGCAGTCGTACAGGTTTGCCTATTACTAGAGGAACGTACAGTAGAGCGTAGCAACCCGTTGCTATCAAGTATAGAAGCACTGTAAGCGCTATTATCGCTCCAACCGGCCAGCATTCTGGATTGAAGATGAGTGAGGCACAGAAGAGACAATCCACCGATTCGCAAAATGGTGCTGATGGGCACATTGCTTCCATTATGTCTATAGCGTTATTGATGCTGAGTTTCCATTGCACCTTGTGCTCATGCAGCACTATACTAGGTGGGAACCTTACTGTTTCGTTGTAGTGTGGCGAGTCAAATGTCTTACAAAAGTCCTCAGCGCATACTTGATAAGGTACTTGTACTTCAGAAACGAGTTGTACTCCACCCGGGATGCATTTTATGAATCTGGTGATTTTCGCTACTTGGTCTCGTACTTTCTGTCCCCTCACTCCATCATTCGTGATTAGTAGTCCCAACATGGTGACAAGTAGTATTGATGTGTTCAAGATGTTCTCGGCATAGTTTTTCTTACGATTTGGACGAAGGTTGTACGGATGCGTAGTTGTTTCCTTCGTAGTAGGTGTGATTTCACTACCACCCGCATCTGCTTCCTTTGTGTTTTCAGACTGGTACTCTTCTAGTTCCAGTGGTACGAGAAGGTTGACTGGCCTGCGAATTTTATGGCGTGAGGGTAGCATGACACCTGCCTCCCTTATGACCCCACACTGGTTTTTGACGAGCTCGATGATCCGTCCGAGCTTCCAAGTTTGACGTGGTTGCACTGGGTCTGCAATCAGCACCAAATCTCCATTTTGTGGTTCGTATGAGGATCCCCGTTTCTGTCCCACGTTTCTCTGATGCTTTTCCCGTAATGACGTTAGGTAATGAGTCTGCCATACTTGCCAAAATTTTTCTACAGCTTTGCAGGAGGATTGTAAGGCTTCTATTGTTTGCCTTTTTGTTCGTAGCAGGACCAGCTCTTCACTTGCTACATAACTTGGATCTTCTTCTTCTTCTCTGGAAAGATCCACAGGGTATTTTATCTGTATTTCGTTTTGTAAAAAGTCTATCGGCCGTAGGGCGACTTCATTTAGGCTATCTGTTTCCATATACAAAAGTGGTCTTGTGTTGAGTAAGGCTTCTATCTCTACGATCACCGTGGTCAGTTCGTCAATTGTCAGTGTCTGATTTCCTAGTGTTTTGTACAGCGAAAGTTTTACTGACTTGATCAAGCGTTCGTAAAAGCCCCCTTGCCATGGGGCATACGGTGTTATATGTTTCCAAACAATCTCTCTATCGCTGAGCTCCTTCATTATACTTGGATCGGTTTTAGCTGCTTCGTAGCTTTCCCTGAGCATCGTTTCCCCCAGAAGAAAGGTCGGCGCATTGTCTGACGTTATTGTCCGAGGTACTCCTCGGCGTGCGAAAAATCGCCGAAGCAGTAGTAAGAACGCTTTGGTTGAGAGATCTTGAGCTATGTCCAAGTGAATCAGTCTAGTTACCATACAGGTAATTATGCATCCGTAGCATTTTCCCTTGCTTCCTTCAGAAAGAACAATACTGAGTGGACCGAAGTAGTCCAGTCCGAAAGGTTCGTATGTTCGAAAGGTTTTGCCCGTTGTACTCGTTCTTTGGGAAGGTCACTTTGCTCCGGATACTTGAATGGCAAGTTGTTGAATTTCTGACAAGGAACACATCGACGGATGATTCGAGTTACTTGAGCTCGGAGTTTTGGTATCCAATAGTCTTGTCTTACGAGAGACATTGTGTGGTTAATGCTTGCGTGGCCTTTGTTATGGCTTTCTCTTATTATGGTTTCGGCTAACCATGTGTTTTGCAGGATGATCAGTGGCTGTTTTGCACTTCGGCTCATCTTGCTCCTATCTAGTCTTCCATAACAGCGAAGGAGGCCGTCTTCGTCTTTCTTGATGTTCAAATGACGCATTGATCGCCTCATTTCTTGAGTGATCAGTATCTGGTGCTGTCTGATTACCGCTTTAGCGGCTACAGCAATTTCTGCGCCATTTAATTCAATCCCGTCATACAATATGTCCGGTTTCAGCCAACTTGATAAGACTATTGGAAGAGTTGTTCTTTTGTTTACCCTTGTTACCAAAATTCTGATATATCGTAGCACATATGCTTCAATGCGCTTTACTGTTACTAACGGATGCTTCTTCAGCTGGTCCAGAGGGATTGGAGTCGTTGCTTGTTGGACCTGTACACTCGCTGCTAATGTTACTTCATCCTCATCTTCACCCGATGTTTTCTGTTGGAATAGAGCAGTGTCTTTCCATTCCTTCGGATTTTCGCACAGAAATTGAGGCCCGGTCCACCAAAAATGGTTCAACAGTTCTGTTTTGGATAGACCTCGAGTGGCACAGTCTGCCGGATTTTCAGATGAGGATACATGAGCAAACCATACTTGACACCCCATTTCCTCTATGTTTTTCACGATTTTCTCAATTTCCGTAAGTCTACTGGTTATCATTCTTCCTACTCCTTTCTGCGGTTTCGATTTGATCCATTGGAGGGCGATTTCAGAGTCTGACAGCACTACTGTTTGCTCTATTTTGACGACGGATTGTAGTTGTGTGATCGCTGCATTTGCAATTCGCATGGCCAGAGTAACTGCATTGAGTTCCATCTTCGGCATCGTAACCGTGGACTTGAGAGACGGTAACTTGCCTTTTGCAAAAAGCAAGTTTGCTTGATCTTTAGAGCGCAAGTAGACACATGCAGCGATTGCTTCTGAGCTTGCATCAGCGAAAGCAATTATGTCATGCTCTGTCTCTTTTGAGCATAAACATCGAGGAATTGATTTTTCAAATCCGTCGGCTTCTTTGATGATTTGTTCCCAGTCTTGCGCAAGTTTTTCGGGCAAAATAACATCCCAGTCAAAATTTTGCTGCCATAGGGAGCGAAGAAAGACCTTGGCTCTATGGAGCAAGGGTGTCATATAACCCATTGGGTCATAGACGGAGGCTATGGTACTTGCAACACTACGTTTTGTAGTGTTAGTGCTGTTTTTCATTTGACATCTGATCTCTAGTGCGTCTTCAATTGAATTCCATTTTATCCCTAGCACTTTTGGTGATAGTTCCAAGGACTTGTCTTCGAGGGCTATTACTTGCATTGTTTCCTTATTGTTAGAAACGAACTCCCGGAGGTTCATGTTAAGATCTTGGAATATCCTTTTAGTGGTGCGGTACAACTCGACCGCCTCTTCCTTCTGATCTGTGGATAGAATGAGATTGTCCACGTACAAGTTTTCTTTCATTTCCTTCACTAGCTTGCTGTTTTTATATTGATCGAGATGGTAATGTGTCGTAGCTGCCAAGAGGAAAGGAGATGGCATAAGTCCAAAAGTAACTCGAGTGAACCGCAGAATTCGGATATTACTTGGGCTAGGTGCTTGTTTGTGGTTCCTCAACCAAAGGCACCGAGTGGCATCACGATCTTCTTCGTGAAGTCGCACTTGAAGAAATGCCTTTTCCACATCCGATATCAATGCGATGTGTCCTACTCGGAATCTCAGGAGAATTCCGTATAGGAGCGGTAAAATTACCGGTCCTCGATGTAGGACATCATTCAGTGAAGGAGATCCCCTGTAATGGGCTGATGCATCGTAAACGATGCGTAGCTTCGTCGTTGACTTGTGTGGTGTTATCACCGCCTGGTGCGGAATATAATGAATTCGTGTACCAGGTAGTGATTTTTCATTTACCTCCTCCAATATATTCAGACGAAGCTGCTCTTGGAAAACTTCATTATATTGGTCCAGTAGTTTTTCGTCTTTCTGCAGCGAATTCCATAAACTTGTCAGTCTTCTATGTGCGATGGCCTTGTTATCCGGTAACTCTATTTGAAGGTCTTTCCATGGCAATCGCACATAGTAACCGTCTTGCCGCTTTTCCACTGTCCTTTTGAAGTTCTCCCACACTTGCTGGTCAACGATTGCCTGTTGTTCTTTTTCAGCCCTTCCAAATTCTTCTGTTCCGGCAGCATCCATTTTCCAGAAACTTTCCCAAAGTTCTTGTTCACTTTCTTTCTCCTCTGTCACTCCCTCTATTGTGTTGACTTGTGCTTGTAGACTCCAGTAGCCATTCCACCTTTCTTCTTCTTGCTCCAGTCTTTCACCTATCGTTGGTGTCCTTTTTGCTTGACCTGTGAAAAGGTATCCCATCCTGGTGGATAGCAAATAGAGCCCAGAAGGAAGACGGATGTGGCTTGTATTCGGTCGTACAAGTGACCACAACTGGTCAGCTCCCAGAAGAATCTCTGGTTTTACGGGCTTTTTAGACTCATTGACATGTAGACCTTGTTGTTTGATAAACTGAATGTCTCTATCTTGGAGTTCGGGTGATGTGAATGCTTTTGTGAGGATGTCATGAGTGAGCAGGCTCAATAAGCATTGCTGACCTTCCTCATCCCAAGCTTTCAACATCACTTTTCGACAGTCCTTCATAGATACTTGATTCGAACCAAAAGTGTGTAAGTGGAGTTTGGCCTTCCCCATCGTTGGGAGTTGCAATTCCTCAGCGAGTGCTCCATCTATGAATGAGATTTCTGCTCCTGTATCTAGTAGTACTGCAACCTTTCTCAAGGAGTTGCTCTTCGGATCGAGAACTGTTAACTCCCCTGTAGGAAGGAAAGTTTCTTCCAAAGGTTGAGGCATTGAATGAACTTGCAGTATGGCGGTCTCTCTAGTTTCCGCTTCCTCGGAGGTCACATGGTTCACTCGTTGAGGTCTTGCTCTTTTCGGTTCTTCTTTCAGTCGCTTCTTATTTGGACCTGCCTTTTCTGGCTGATTTGTAGCGTTGTTGGTTAGCTTGAAGCAGCATGATGTGTGGTGTGCACCTTGACACTTAAAGCAGTTACGCTTTTTGCATTGTGAAGTTTGGTGTTGTGCTGACGCACAGATGAGACAAAGCCCGTGCTCTCTCAGGTATTTCGATCTTTCTTGTGGGTTTTTATACCTGTTGCAATCCATAGCTTTATGGTCTTCCCCACAATACATGCACCTGTTTGGCCGCATTGGGAGATCCTTTTTGACGAAGGGTGGTTTGATGCTCTGTTCTTTCCCGGTTCTTTCCAAATAGAGCATCACCATTTCTTCGTTTGAAATTGTTTCCTCCAAGAACTCCAACAGTTTGTTCATAGAAAATGAGTCTTCCGCCAGGGAAGTGCTTCTTTTCAGTAGCACTTTTCTCTGAACAGACGCTGGAAACTTGGAGAGAATTTTTCTGATGCACCACTGGCTATCCACTTGTTCTCCTTTGTGAGCTAGCTGGGCAATTACCACTTGCAGTTCTTCAAAGAGAGAACGTTGGTCCTTTATCGAAGGTGATTTCAGTGATGCTTTTTCAAGCTTATGAAGCAATCGTGCAATCAGTTCTTGCGTATTTCCATACTTGTGCTGGAGGAACTTGATTGCTTTCGAATAGTTCTCTGGTGTTACTTGAAACTTTTCGATTGCCTGGTAGGCCTCGCCGCGAAGTGCATTCTTCAGATAATTGAATTTGTAAAGGTCGGGGATCTGCTGCGAATGGACATTGGTGTTGAAGAGTTCCCAAAAGTTGTCCCATTCCCATATATTCCCTCGGAATATTGGAATGGGCAATGCTGGGAGCTCGCTTCCCAACCTTGGTTGTACCGGGGTAGTTCCTTCCGCAGCTTCCAGTGTCGTGTTACTTGCTTCCCCTGCACGAGACGTGCATACCGTGTATGCCTGTCTGCGTGACTGTAAGAGTACTAAGTAGTCAAATGCGGAGGCAAGAGTTTCTTCCGCCTTTGCGGAATACTCCTCGAAGCTGGTTACTTCTTGTTCGTCCAAGTCTTGCAAGCTTGAGACATCTGTGGCATAGTCCATCAAGAGTTTTTCAATTTTCTCCGTAAACGCTGTTATTGCACCTATTCCTTCGTTGAGTTGTCGTAAGCTTTCCCTAAGTACTTCGCCTTCTTGTGAAGTTGCCGTGCGCGTTTCCAACCTTTCATTCTTGAGATGTGTGATGACTGCTTCCAATTTTTTCGTGTAGCGTGTGAGTAAGCGCTTAGATGTACCTAGTCGCATCGCCATTTTCTTAATAACGGTTCAAAACTTGCAACCGAAAATACAGTTTTGGTTCAAAACTTGCAACCAAATTTGCTGACGTATCACAAGAGTAGTCAAGTATGTCAGTACAGTGAAATCGTTAGACTGACCTGAGTTCGTCGTCTGCCCGATGCACCATGTAGAAAAGAGTTTTCTTTTCTTCGCTAGGACTAGGACTTGTGCTTTACTTGCTCGTTGCCACGCGGGACTATAAGCTGTGGTTGGAAACGGGCTCACAAATAGGTTTATTGTTCAATTCTTTACATACAGCCTTCTTTCTTCCTGCTCACACTCCGAAGTTCTTCTTTCTTCGAAAGACTTGAGCTTGAACTTGATCTTGAGCTTGAGCTTGAGCTTGAGGTCCTTGAGGAACTTGAGGAAGCATGATCTTACGGCAGTGTGAGCTCTATTTATACAAATGAATATCAGATAAAAGTTGAATCTCAAAATATATTTCAAGCGAAGAGAAACATAGATGATATGATAAACGTTACAAAAGCAAAACAACAAATACTTGAGAAATGTACGATTTCAAAGAACAAAATTAATTCAAATACATGAACAAATACTTGATACATCGGCTAAACAATCGACAAATATATCTTAATTATATACATTGATTATGGATCACTTGGTCGTCGTTGACGACACTCGACGGCCTTAATTTTAATACTACCTGCTCAATCCTCTCAGTTTTTGTTCATGTAATCAACATAGACTCAGATGTACTTCGTGTATTAGCCCCGCCCTTTTTTGCGAACTCCGCCCAACCCTATGCCTCTCACAAAAACCCCTTTTTGTCCATAAAAAGCATGGAGGAGGCCGTAGATGAGCGCAAAGACCTTGAGCAACGAGGTCTTGCCCACCGTCAGGCAAACTCCGCCCCCTAAGTGGCAAGCTCCGCCCATTTTCAAAAGTGGCGGAATTTACATGATTACATAAGATTTGGGCCAGTTCATTTTTGGCCTAGTGGGCGGAGCTTTCACAAATTATATTTCGTGCATGCATGCATACATACATGACCCAAGTGTAGGGATACACGGAAACGTCCCGTCGACAAGGATGACCTCATAAAAATGGCTCGTCGTCAATGTGTTAAGCAGAAAGAAAGACTGCAGAATTTTCGCACTGTGTAAGGGTGCACCTAGCTCATTCAGTGGTGGAGAAACGGTGGAATTTACGCAAATGCAGCAGAGAAAGGGAAGTTTTTCAACGAAGGCAGTTTTCGAGCCCGCAGGGATGCCAAAAGTGAGGACTTTTGAGTTTTTCGCAATATTTCCTCTCAATAAAATTCCCAAAAATTCAAACAAATTCAAACTTGGCATTATGCTTAGCCGATGTTTAGCTACACGATGAGCAGAGTGTGCTCTCTTCTACTAAATTACAGAGTAAGTTGTGCAGTTTCAAAGTGTAGGTTTCCAAAAAAGAGTTTCCAAAAAGTTTTCTTTGCCGTCTTTGGGCTAGAAAATCGTCCTAGCTTTTTGGCTACACTTATATAAAAGTATGTGTTGTATAGTCCCAAGACTTACTATAATATTTACAGCAGTTTTTATTGCGCTCAAAAAGATCTCGGAAAAGGTATACTTTTGTTCAAACTTGAATTATAGAAAACGTGTAATGATCATGAACCAACGTAATATAATTTTTATATTCCAGATATTCGCTTTAGCTGGACAGGACTTTGAGGACAATCGAGTAAGCCGCGAGGAGTTTGCACCAATGAAACCCAGTTAGTGACCAAATTTTAGAAATAGAAGTTTAAAATCGACTTATTGATTGCCATGCTAGAAACACCATTCGGGCAGCTTCCGGTGCTCGATGTCGACGGCACACAAATAGCCCAATCATTGGCGATTTGCCGCTACTTGGCTAGAAAATTCGGTTTGTTATGTTTTTTGTTTCAGTTTCAGCATAAAATACGGAGTAGAGGGTTTTGGAAGGTGAACTGGCACAAAAGGGAAGGAGATGGGAGGGGGTTGTAGAGGAAGTGACTTCGGAATAAAGAGCTGTTTGCTTTCGATATTTGCCAAGGCTTGAGCATTCCCTTAGGGAGCGAGGGGGGGGGGGGAGGAGGGGGAGGGGAATGGGACAGAGAAATCTGATCATCTCTAGCGGCCCCGAAACTTATATGGCGGTTCAAAGAGTCCCTGTTTGATTAAGGGACGTAAAGCGAAATAAGCGTCATTGAATATCGAGCGAAGTGCTTTGCAGGATTAGCCGGCAAATCTGCAGAAGATGAAGCTGTTGTTGATTCGTTAGCCGACCAATACACTGATTATCGCGCTGAAATCAAAACATGGTTTTTTCCTGCTGTTGGACTCAAAGAAGGAAATGTGGTGGGTCAGAGATTAATTATTAAAATCACAATTGATTTCTCAAGTTTCTTTCAGGAGCAACTCAAGAAAGACGTCCTTATGCCGGCACGCCAAAAATACTTGGATATCATTACTAAATTCCTGAAACAGAACAAGTCTGGTAAGCGCGCCTTCTTATCCAAAACTTCGTGGCCATTTTGTGAATGAAAGGAAACCGATTTAGGTTTCCTGGTTGGAGATTCAATAACATGGGTAGATCTGCTTGTAGCTGATCATAGTTCCATGATGCTTCATCTTGTTCCAGAGTTTCTTGAAGGATATCCTGAGGTGGATAGTAGCAAACCCCCAAAGTTTTTCATTTGATACAAATTTTCTAGGTGAAATCTCACATGGAGAAAATTCACGCAATTCCAAATGTCAAGAAATGGATTGAAACGCGACCAAAATCTGATCTCTAATCTAATCAAATCACCTGATGATCGTATTATTCTGCTTACCCGGTGATTTGTTGTTATGTTAATGAGATCATTTTGGTAGTTTGTTTGAGATGGACACAAAGATTGAAATAGAAAAATAGCTTTGATTTGAATGCTATCCCTTGTTACAATTGTCGTTTGGATTTCTTGAAAACTGCATGTGCTCAGGAGAGTAGTACAAATTTCAGTACAAATTGCACCTCGTTCGCGCCGAACGGGGTGCAATTTGTACTGAAGGTTTCATCTGAATCAAGCTACGATTAACTGATCCGTTGGTTCGAACAGCCTTTTGTAAATTTTGTTGCGGTCTAATAAGTCACTTCTTTATGGCTTTAGTTCTGCACTCAAAAACTGAAAATTTTCACAGAGAGACCGGTGCAGAGGAGTGCCATGCTGGCAAAGTGCTGTAACTTCTTTGACCGAATTGGGATGTAAGATGCTCATAGTCAGTTCTTCTCCTTTTTGCTTTCTTCCTGACACTAAACTTTTTTTAATTTTTGCATCTGTCCCGACACGGGGTCTGCCGCTCTTATCAGTCTCCTCCATTCTTCTCGATCTACGACTTGTCGTTCATCTAATCAAGTGCTCTCAAGTCTGCTTTCACTCAATAGGTCCATCTTTGCTTTGATCTTCTTCGTGGTTTTTTCCCCGGAACCTCCTCCACTAACATTGCTAACCCTGTGAGTGTTCTTCTTCCCGTCTTCCCACATGCCCCCGTACCATCGAAGTCGTCTTTCTTGCAGTTTCTTGACTGTCAAAGCCACTTTCAAGTAGTTCGTATGGTATCATTCCTGACCATGCTACTGACTCCGTTGCTATAATACATTCATACTGTATACTGTGTGAATCTAATATTGCATAGAGTCTGTGTGCTCAATCCACAGTTAGTTCATGTAAATACACAAGTTTAGCAATATCGATCATCAAATCATGAAACAGAAAATACAGGAGAAAGCAAAAAACAGAATAAAAAGATGGGTACAACATGGAAAATGATGAATATGAAATGTTTTATACGCCATTTGAAGAGAGACTAGCACTTGAAACCAAGAGTAAGTTCAGTTTGGTTAATGGTTCTGAAAGACTTCATTTTCCGTTATAAAGGAATCGAATAAGGCGGTTTTCCGGATAGAATATCATGCAAACACATCTTTAAGAATTTTGCCATAACATCTATGAAGAAATTCTTGAAAAAATGGGTTTGCATGATATTCATTGCTAAGAGCCATTTGAAGAACAAAATAATAATTCCGCCAATCAAATGGTATGATTATAAAGAAAAAAAATGGCAGATACTTTATACCCAGCCTGAACTTAAAATTTAAAACCCTCTTATGTTCGCAAAGCAAGCAAAATGAGTATGAAGGATAAAGGATGAAAGGTTCAACCTTTGGAAAAAACCTTTTCGATACTCTCTGCGGGCGGCGTCGAACCTCTACGTCGTGCAGTTCTGGCCATAGCTATAGAGCCTAAGGTTAGCGGTAATTTGTCGTGAATGAGATTGCTCAAAAACCATTTTCGTATGTGAGGCAACGTTATACCATTAACCAGGATGCCTCCCAATTCCACTGATTTCGACCGAAGCAGAACTGAAGGACTTGAAAAGCCTGCTCGAAGATTGGCCGCAGTCATGAAGTCACCTCTTTTCAAGCACTAATGCCTTCTTTGAACAACAGCATCAAACGATACGTCTGTTCATTTGGAACTGCCGTCTTTTCATAAAAAATGCAGTCATTTTTTGTTTGGTGTAATAAGAGTCAAACTAATTTTAAAAACTGCTGCTTTACAGAACTTTCCAGCAAGTTATGGACCCCGAAGTTTTTATCGTGTGCATATGTAGAGAACGCATAAATGCTCTGATGGTGGTCGTATGGTGTAGTGGTTAGTGTCTCGGACTCGCAGGTAATCGGTGAGGTTGGAATTCTGTTGCTGTCCACGTTTTTTGCGGGCCCAAATTTCGTTTTTCAGCTGTTTTATGTATTATTGAAGTAAAAAAATGACACATACGGCTGGTTAAACTCAACTAATTATACAATATGCCGTGTCATTCTCACAAGTAGCCAATCAACAATACCGAAATACCTCCGTCATAGCTTATCACCTATGCTCTCGGTAGTTGGTTATTTGTAAGCAATCTGATATTATATAGCCTTTGGATAAAGTCTAATTAGTCAAAGCAAGAAGTTTGCCCGAAAATTTTACATATGAAACATTGGTCGAATGTTCGTGAGAAAGGTCATCCCGTAAGCCGTGTGTGTCATTTTTTTACTTCAATAATACATAAAACAGGTGAAAAATGAAATTTGAGAAGAACGCAAAAAACATGGACAGCAACAGGATTCGAACCCTCACCGGTTACCTGCGAGTCCGACAATAATCACTACACCATGCGACCACACCATCAAGAGCATTTATGCGTTCTCTACATATGCACACGCCAGAAACTTCAGGGGGCCATAACTTGCTTCGCAATAACGCGTCGCAGCTAATGCGTGCACATTTGATACTAACTTTTCGAGCCCCGAGCCAGGGTATATACCACATATTAATCGGCCATTTCGATTCAGCGAACTTTCCTTTTGAGAATCTGGTCTCGCTTAGCGCGTCTTATTCAAGATGGGGTAGTGCGCTCTGCATAATCATGACCCACCCCAACCACTCCATCGGACTGAAAGTCGCTGAAAACTTTGTGTCAGTATCCCTAATAGTTCCGTAAAATTTGATTTCATGAAGAATTGAAAGCAGAAAGCAAGGAGTGATATACAAGAGACGATCCCCCCTATTCTATTATCCAGCGCTTTTTTATTGAATGTAGGTCTCAAGGATTTGCTGCTTTGTGTGGTGAATGCGATAAAGGCGCTCATGTCAGCGTTGCTTAATCGCTGATGGTGACAAAAGAGCCACAACTTTTTCTTCAGCAAAACGAGCTTTCGAGCCAAAAAATTCAATGCCTGGAAAATTCTTTGATGCTTAGTACGTCGTCGTCTCAATATCCCCCCCGCATTATCGTTTGCCTACCGTAGGCATGACATAAAGGTTCTACCAAACATATGTAGTTACATATTCGTAATTATTATGTAGAACAATTCCTGTGAGCTTTAGCGAATTCTGAGGATTCCCGACTTTGGACCACCCAAGTGAAATGGTCATTTTTCAAACACGATTAAGTATATCTCAGAAGTGATTCAGCTACTTCTTTTTGTACTCAATACAAAGCACTACTCCTTATTTGCCTATAGCATGAATTCCGCACATAACCATCAAGCTATGGAATTAGGAGCCAGCCAAAATCTCATTTGTCCCATTCTCAACTTACAGTGGTTGTGCTTCAGGCAATTATTGCACACACGAAAGAAGACAATTTCAGCTCTTATCACTATTACAGAAACTACGAGATTTTGGCTATCGAACAGTTTATAATCTGTTTACCAAAATTCTCTTTTAGAGTAAGTTAAAGGCAGCGTCCAGGCAAACCTAGACGTATGGGGATCTCACGTGGGTAGTAATTTTGGGGCTCTAACTAAGCCACTGCTTAAGCAGCAGTTCAGGTAGTGCTTTAACGGCTGAAATACTTGCCTCGAAACTAGACCTCGGGATCGTATTTATTTTTATTTATTTATTTATTCGATACGCACAAAGCGTGCCATAATTGGAACAAAGAGCAAAATACGTAGAGCATGAAAAGTAAAAAATAACAAAACATCCCCAAAAGCTCAAGTCCAGCTCCGTGAGTGGAAGGAGGTTAAGCCTGTAGACCGTGTATGAATATCAGTGCAGATGCTCGGTGGAGTCTGTCCCTGTCCCCTGCTTGCAGCAAAAGTGCTCTTAGAGTATTCAACTTAAGCAATTGTAATGCGGGAAATAGATGTAATAAGAAAAATTTGCCCGACTGAGTTCGGGGGAGAGAGCAGAACTCCGAGACAAAAGATTGTGATGCAAAGAAGATGTCAGGTCAGACAAGCTATTCTCAAACAATAACGAGAATGAGTGAACCGGACCCGAACCGCATGTGGATAAAGTAAAAATCGGAACAGTGAGTGACGTGAAGGTCCACCGATCACAAGTTTGGTACATGAGAAAGCTATCACTGGAAGACCTTCTGCGCGATGAGTGACAGACTGACAGAGTTGGTCGGTTACATGGTACTGGAGTAAGCCCGCGACACACGTAGCAGTGGGTGTAGGGAAGGTTCGGCAGGCAAACGGAACACTATACGAGCGATGACAAAAAAGTCGTCTGGAAGAAAATCAGTCAAAATCAACTTCTTGAATAAAATCAGACAAGTTTAGCTTCTTAAGTCTTCGTTTGAAAGTGAGAATGTCTGGAGAACACAAAATTTCTTTAGGTAAACATTGAAGGTATTTTGAAGTGCGTGCAAAAAAACTGTTTTCTGATAAAGAGTTTAATTGTTTACGCCCACCCGTATTTCGCATGGATTCATGGCGCAACCCATCAGTTTCGCGTGGGTCCTCGCATGAAACTGATGAGCCGCACCATGAATCCATGCGAAATACGATCCCGAGGTCCAATTTCGAGGCAAACATTTTAGCCGTTAAAACACTACCTGAGCTGCCCTTAAGCAGTAACTTAGTTAGAGCCCCAAATTACGGTCCGCATGAGAGCCCCATACGTCCAGATTTGCCTGGACGCTTCCTTTAATGGAGTGTAGCACAAGCCCTTGGCTTGCCACTTGCTTGGCTGCCAAACCTTTTTAGGGGTTGTTCCACATATCATCAACTTACCTTCAAAGCATTCAAATCTCCGTATTTTCTTTATATCGTCGCCACTGCTAATCTTCTTCTCTACACAGCAAGAGCTTATTTAAAATCGTTTCTTCTAAAGAAAAATACTCGTTTCTCTTCACTCATGTAAGGGGAAGATACTGCGAAAATATTGGGTCGCGGTAACATGCTGAATCTGCGCTACTCCGTGAATCGCGAGGAAAGGGGACGAGAATAAAAATATTCGATAGCTGAACTTCG